CATATTAATGGATACTTATGGCTGTTTCTCCTCACAACAAAAGGACTGAGTGAGGGAGAATTCATATATAAGTAGACTCACACAGTTGAAACCTGTGTTGTTCAGGGATCAACTAAATTATACATTATACCTAAATATTCTGGAACTCTGGAGGACAGCCAACTGGTCAGCTGACTGGAAGAGATTGATAATTGTTCCCATTCCAAAGAAAGGTGACCCAACAGAGTGTGGAAATTATTGAACAATATCATTGATATTACATGCAAGCAAGACTGTGCTGAAAATTATCCAAAAACTTTTGGAACAATATGTCAACAGAGAACTGCCAGATGTGCAGGTTGGATCAAGAAGAGGTCATGGTACTAGGGATATGATAGCTAATGTAAGATGGATCTTGGCAGAAAGCAGACAATACCAGAAGAATGTCTATCTGTGCTTCACTGACTATGCAAAGGCTTTTGACTGTGTGGATCACAACAAGCTATAGCTAATTCTGAGTACAATGGGAATCCCAGAATACTTGATTGTGCTAATGCGAAACCTATACTTGGACCAAGAGGCACTCGTCAGAACAGAGCAGGGAGACACTGGATGGCTCAAAATCAAGAAAGGGGTCTGTCAGGGATGTATTTTGTCTCCATACCTTTTCAATCTGTGTGCAGAACACATCATCCGAGACGCTGGGCTGTACAAGGAAGAATGTGGCATCAGGATTGGTGGAAGAATCGTCAACAACCTGCGTTATGCAGATGACACAACCCTGCTTGCTGAAACTGAGGAGGAACTGAAGTGCCTGCTGCAGAAGGTCAAGGACTATAGTCTTCAATATAGATTGAAGCTTAACATCAAGAAAACAAAGATTCTAACCACTGGGCCAATTGGCAGCATCAGTATGGCTGGTGAAGGGATGAGTTAACAGTTTTAGTTTACTTGGCTCCACAGTCAACACTCTTGGTAACAGCAGCCAGGAAATCAGGAGATGAATTGCATTGGGAAAGTCAGCTTCGAGGGACCTCTCAAGAGTACTGATGAGCAACGACATCAGGCTGGAGACTAAAGTGTGCCGGATCCAGGCTATAGTCTTTGCCATTACATGCTATGCATTGGAGAGTTGGACAGTGCATAGGGATGATAGAGAATTAATGCCTTTGAGCTGTGGTGCTGGAGAAGAGTGTTGAATATACCATGGACTGCTAGGAGAACAAACAGGTTTGTCCTG